ACATTTTTTGTAGAAAATTTCATGATCTACAATTTTTATTTGAAGTTTTTTTATGATAAAACTTACCGTTTTGCTGAAAATCGCAAAAAAACTTATTTCTTTGACCTTTGTATAATTTTTTTCCATATAAGGGAAATATGGGGAACTTTCAAATTTCATTTTTAATAATATTTTGAACAATCTTACTGATTTTCAGCTTGGTGGGAATTCAGGTAGCTTTACTCTTATTTTTTGTCTAATTTGACCGGACTATACGTTAAAAATACACGGCTGTCCGAACTCCGAGATTCAAATTGAAGAGTTGGTACACTTCGAATTACATTTGCTTGAAACTCCAAGGTATATCACCATTTTTGCAGGCACCCCACTCGAGCGTCTTAAATATTTTCTGGAAGTGCTTATATATACCTCCATAAAAATATCTTCGACAACAAGTTGATCTGAATATGAACAAAGATTTCTATAAAATTTTTGTTTAGGTTGACAGTAATTAAATCGAATTCAATGGAAAAAATATCCAGTCATTACTATTCTCCAAGAAAGAATTTATTTTGAAGACTTTTGACGTAATGTTTGGTGGGCCGGTCAGAACTATTTCCGATCTCGTTTTCTGAAAAAAAGAATGTAGTGGTCTTGGTACTTACCAGGAATTGACTAAAACATTTCAATATATTATTAGATATCATTTTGTATATGTTCCTATATATCTTCTTGTTTCACAGGATATTATATGTATATTGAATCATCCGCGAGAAACGAAAACGACACTGCCAGACTCATATCTCCAATCTACGATAGAACAGATCAAGAAGTTTGTCTTGAATTCTATTACCACATGTTCGGGAGTACTATAGGATCTTTAAGGGTGTACTTGAAGAAAGCAAAAGATAATTGGACGCTAGATCCAAATCTTGCAGTTTTCTCCAAAAGTGGCAACCAGGGAGATAAATGGTATAGGGGATATCAACATTTGGGTCCGATTGACGATGACTTTCAAGTAAGTGTTAAGAAATTATTATTATCTAGAGATATCTAGAACATTACTAGCATGGTTTTTCTTTTGTTTCAGATAATATTCGAAGGAGTAAGAGGATCAGGTTATGTGAGCGATATAGCTATAGATGATGTCAAAGTAATCATGAATTGTTCCATGGATGACGTTTTTACTACACAGAGGTAAAAATGTAACCTTTGAGCTTAGGTTTGCTTTATTCATTGAACTGATATGTTGAATATTATCTTTTGATTTCCCGATAATAGTGATATTACAGTTGATCTAGACTCTAGAGCATAATGGACACATTCTATCCGCAGTGCTATCCGAAGCTGGATCAAGAGGTCTTAGACGTTATTTAGGGGTCATGTCTTGTAATTGAAGAGTCGACAATGACCAGATAATTTTAGTTCATGTGATCCATCGCTCGTTAATGACCAATGTCGCCGTTGTCGTCAATGAGTGTGGTCAATCAGAAAAGTCTTCATGTATAGTTTTCAACCCTGATGTGATGAGAATAATGTGTAGTTAACACCCTAATGATACTTCTTGTAGCAGCGACACTTCTTGTATATTCTTATTGTTATTGTACACCCTTAATTGATGGACAATGACCAGAGAGTTTTAGTTTATGTATTCTGCCGCTCGTTAAGCGAAGTATTGGAATTAAACACATTTTTTATTACCTTCATTTGTTAATTTTTCATTTCTGCTTCACTCACTTTCTAATATAGTTTCGAACCATAGATTTTATTACCCTCACAACTACTTTAGGTTAAATATATGGAGCTTATGAGTCATCTCTAGTACACTCATCATATTTTTTGTCGCCCATGAATTCTGAAAGTCCAGGCACGCTGTCACTGATGGGTTCTTCAATGCTCTAAATGCTGCCTGGCTATCTGTGAGGAGCTCATGTCATTGATGCCTTAAATCATTCGTAAGAGTTGAAGACCTTGGGTTTTTCATATGCAATATCACAAACCTTCTGACTTACGTAACACCGTAAATAACCTTCTGAAACTTGTGAGGCACTGTTTGGAATCTTTGGTGTAGTAATCAATATTACTGGAGTTCTATCCCAACACCAAACCGTTATTTTTAACACCTGGACACGTGTTTCAATCACCAAGTGATCATCTTCAAGAGGAAAATTAAACTTCCTCTTGATTTAATCTTCCTCTTGAAGATGTTCACTTGGTGATTGAAACACGTGTCGAGGTATTAAAAATTACGGTTTGGTGTTGGGATCGAACTCCAGTAATATTCAACCTTCTGAAAAATGGTCAGATAATGTTAGATTAGGTTAGTTTAGGTTAGGTTAGGTTACGTTAGGTTTTTAATTGATAATAAAATAACTTCGTTTAAGTTTCTGCAATTTCACCCACTCACTTATTGCTTTAAATAAATGCATGTTGTATAGTTTATAACATTATTTACGTATTTGATGAAAGATTTATGATATGTTTTTTTACTGTGGATGTTATGTTACTTTACTGTTTCAGTGAAATTCCTAATACTGAAATTATCCCTACTGTTGATTCTTGTGAAGATAGGTGTGGTCAGATGGAGAGCGTAACTAGTGATAGTTACCACCTCACTTGTGACTGTGACGATGACTGTTATTACAAAAGACGGTGTTGTCCAGATTATTATGACTTTTGCGACATTGGTAAGAGATGTACATACTCACATATAATTGACTTCTTGGTTGAAATACATGATATTGTAAATGTTTTTTTGATTTCGAAATGTTTTTGTCGGTAGATACTTTTCAATTTCTTCTCTTTTTTTTTGATAAAATTTGATTTCATTATTCAATAAAGTTGCTTTCGAAAGCCATACAAGGATTATAGTGGTTATACAATTTTTCGATACCATTTTTTTAGTACGATTTGTGCTAAGCCTCAAAATAGGCATCAGTTTCTACGATTACGTCTTCATCATGAGAATATGGTGGGCGCGGAAGTAATTCAAAGCCCTTTCAAACATCACTTTTTTTTCAACTGGGGCCGTTTTTTCGCGTTTTCGTTCTTCAAACGCCACACTAACGCTATGTAATAGTCACTGTTGATGGTTTTTCCATTTTCAAGATACATGATGCCAATCGTTTGGATTCTGGTGCGAAATGATGGAGCCATGTTTCATCCATTGTCATATATCGACTCATACATTCGGGTTTTTCGTGGTGGAACAGCTTCAAACACTGCTCAGAATCATCAGTTCGTTGTTGTTTTTGGTCGCGGCACACACTTTGAACAGAGCTTTTGCAAACCCAAATATTCATGCACGATATATCCAATACATTCCTAGGCTAGTGAAATTGATCCGCTTCACTAGCCCACGATTTTTCAGTCCATCTAGTTGAACTGACACTATTTTTTGCTGGAATCACAATAATCGAAGAAAATATTATTATAAATAAATGTGAATTCCTGTGTATTGAAGTTTTTCAAGATTAATTAAGCAAGCTTGAAGGTGCCCAAAATCAGAGAATGTTCTCAAATATTTCAAATTGCATAAGAAATTGTTTGGATTCTGAATATAGTGACAGATGCACAAATGAATTTGATGAAATTGGCTGATATTTGATGAAAATCCATGATAATGTATTTGAGTAACACTTAATTGTTAATTATCCGCTCGATTAGTACACAGCAGTCTTCCAGCTTGAAGTGTGTGCAATCCTGTAATGCGCAAGGTTTATTAATTTGCAGCGTCTACGAAATTCGTGGATCAATATTTCCCCAGACAGCCAGGCTAAAAAAATATTAAATGGATTTATCAGCCAAAAACTATTCTGAAAATGACGTTTTTGATAGAAAAATGACCCAAATATGGGGTAACATGATCGCTTGATTACATCCAAGAGTACATTATTTACGCCATCAGTATCAGGAAAATAGTAATTTCACATAAAGCGAATGGTGAGGAACTTTTTATCGGATGCAGTAATGGTGATCTTTTCCATGTAAACTTTGATGATCTTTCGCTTTGTGCCCTTGTCATGCACTTCATTGCAGATCTGCTACAGATCGAAGGAGTATTGTCTTGATCTCGTAAACAATCCACTTGAATTTTGCCCTTCTGTGGGACAGATGGCCTAGAAATCGTAGCGGATAGGGCCCTACCTTTTCATTTTTCAATCATGATTTTTTTTCTGAAGTCTTTCTCCAGCAGACTGAAAAAAATCTAGATTCTAAGGCTTTCAAAGATGCGGGCTGTTGTGGGAGAGCAAAATAAACTTCACATTGTTTTCCATCATGCAAAGTTGTAGCAATTTAGCGGATACGTAGCTGACTATTGTCTCCAATTGTCTCCAATAACAACTTTTCGACAGGACCCTAACTTTCTGAAGTTGGGCAAAACAATCGACGCGAACCAGTCCTCGAATAAGGTCAACATAAACCACCCTGAGGATGAATGATTATGTCGGTTATTCAATGGACCTTCCTGAATCCAAGACCCATGAACACGTTGGCCTTTGTATACGACATATGTAGGGAAAAAAGCCATTGCTGTCCCTGCGAACATCACACTGGCATTGGACCTCGACGAGTCTAGGTTCCGATCTGGGTATTTGAATATCCTTCTGATCATGACAGTTTTGGGTATTTGTATTTCCTTCTGATCATGACAGTTAGTCTCAAAGTAGTTGAGTGCTTCAGGGATGAGCTTTGGTGAGCTTTGAAAAATATGCTTTGATATGTTCCTTCTGATCATGAGAGTTCTGGGTATTTGTATTTTCTTCTGATCATGACAGTTTTTTCAATCGGATTGTCTAGTATGTTTATCTCGAAGTAGTTGAGTGCTTCAGGGTAGAGCTTTGGTGAGCTTTGAAAAATACACTTTGATATGTTCGAATGTCGCAGCTACCTATGCTTGATGTAATGACTCAAATGACTCTTCAGGGTCATAAAGATTTGAAGTCATCTGGATTCTAATAAATTTTTAGTGAAACGAGGTTCTTCTACGTCCTTGGCATCTAGAATCTTTGAACAATATTTTTCGGATCAAACTTGGAAAGAGTAAATTCCCAGTAGACGTTTAATCCAAGACAATTAGTGCGATTCTCTTTTCTTCTTGACCGGAAAAAACAGATGAACGGCCTACTTTCCGTTGGTGTTTACCATTCAGGTAACGCTGAATTGACTACTTGGACACGCCAAAATGCATTACCACCTCTCACAAACTCTTTTCTCTATGTACTGTATTTGCTGCCTCAGGACATACAGCTTTGTTCAGATGTGAAATACATACATCTGTATGAACAGATACAGAGAACACGCTTGTTGGAATTGGTGTCATGAATAAGATGATGGAACAGCCCATGAGGCTGAGTGTTTTCCGGAGAAAAGGAAGAAATGGACAAGCCAGACGGACCCCAAGAGTGGGAAGAAAAACACTTCGTTGTTTTGTTTCCACTAAGCAGTTTACAAAAACCTCAACAGGTGTTTCACTATACAACCGGTTCTCTTCAGGTGTGTTCAATACTGTGAATGTGAAAATCACTGCAAAGTGATTCGCTTCCCGCTGTCTGTTCCTAATCATGCTTAGATCTTTAAAACTATGCAACGGATTTTGATGCGGGATTTTTTAATAGATACAGCGATTTAAGAGGAAGGATTATATGTATATAACATGCCTATTATAGTTGAGAAACACTAAAGGTTTCTAATATGATGTCGTAAATAAACACATTTCTTACATCGTAGCGTACATTGCAAACGCTGGCTGAACCCTACGAGATACACCTTAAAAAGGTCTACAAAATAGTTTGCGATGGTATATGTTTATCTCTTAAGGATAACCCACAATAACCATTTTCCATCCTCGAGAAATAATAGCTCATTTACTAAGCGATTTTAAGCAAAACAGCAATAATCCTTGTGCAATTAAGTACCTTAAATACATTGTGCATTTATATAGATCAATATGGCCCTTCACAGCATGTAATCTAAGTGAATATTTTTAAAGATATTACAGATTTAAAATGCAGGGACATAGCGGTTGAGGCGGTACCGGCCGGGGGGCCGGCGGAGCGTGCGTCAAATGCCGAAAAAAGAGGTAGCACTGAACGGAATAATGATATATGCCTGAAGAAAATTAAACAGTTTTTAAATCGTAACTTAATCAAAAATATGTTTGAATGGTAAAAAATAAACATAATCAATGCAAAAAATCAATTGTTACAAAATTAATGTATTCTTTCTGTGTTTTGTATTTGTAAAATGTTTTCTACCTGCAAAAAAGAATGCTTTTTTTCAGATTACCCCGTATACTCATTGTTGTTGATTTTTTCCTATTTTTCAGAAGCAACGTTCAGTTATGATGTGACTCCAACTGGAATTTTGAATGTAACGATTATGAACGAAAATACAGCAACAAAAACAACAACAGAAGAACGACATTTCACTGTCAATATAACCAAATCAACAGAGATAACCCGACTTCCAACTGCAATCCCAATGTTTTCTAGTCCATTGCCAATACCGAAACAGTTTTTCACAAAATCAACAGACCACTTTGTTCACCTGACAACAGCAAAAGTAACTACATCAAAAGTAACATCACCAAAAGTAACATCACCAAAAGTAACTACACCAAAAGTAACAACACCAAAAGTAACTACACCAAAAGCAACTACACCAAAAGTAACCACACCTAAAGTAAAAACGTCAACAGTTACTACACAGAAAGTAACAACACCAAAAGTAATGACTCCAAAAGTGTATAGGCCTGTTATATATGTTAAACCTCCACCTCCAACAACGAAAATAATTAGGAAAGTTATTGTCAAATCTACGACCAGAAAACCAACAACTCCTTTTATAATGTACAGGCCGCAGCCTACAAAACCTCGCAAGGAAACTGATTCCGATGTAATCAATGTACCAAAACCAACTCGCAATGATGAAGGACTTTTTGTAACGCCGTCTCGCCCGGAATATGTGAAGCCCAAGGAATATTGGCCTGACGAAAACGAAAACAGTGTGGATAGCCTCTATCCCCCATTTTTCCGAAACAATGTTAGTGAAAGTGGTAAACTTCTCTTCACTCAGAAAGAACCGGACAGCCCAAATACTAATATTTTTGTAATTGTGATAAGTGTAACCGGGGCCCTCGTTCTCATTTCCGTTGCTGTGTTTGCCATTGTCTGGAAATATCGTAGACCTGGTCATAGAATGCATTTCTCCAATGGCGAAAGTCAGAGTGACGTCAGATTTCTTACAAGCGATGAAATAATAGACTTTTCGCTATCAGATTGCTATGACGAATGAAGAATTTCTACAAATCTGTTATTTATTGTGTGATACACGTTTTCAGTAGATAATAAAGTTGATGTAGGAGAACATAGAGTATGTTTTATACTATTTCTAGCCTAGACACCCTCGTGTGAGCAGTTTTTATGTAAGATGATTTTGAATATTTTACTAGATCACATTTTGGTACTTACAATATTGATTATTTCAAGTTGAAATAACTCGTGATAATGTAAACATCTACCTGTCCTGGCTACCTGCCCTTAATTGTACACAAACATTATAGTTTATGCGTTGAGAACAACTGGAACACTTTGACCTTTGATAATGTCTACCACAGTAGTAGACGAAACGACAGGTATAAAACCTGCAGACCACATCCAAAAAACACAGAAAATATTTTAGACCGTAGAGTTATCTCCCGCAGTGAAAATTTACATTCTTCAATATAAACATACTGTCTACTTCATTATTAATACACCCATTACTTGATGGAAATCAATAATAATATTTATGATAAAAAAAGTTAGGTTTTGTAACAACTGTTGTATAAAATGCATTCTATAATCTGTTTTAAAAAAATCCGTATTTCCGTTAACCAGCTGTCGCACCCCTACGAACGACAACCCTCAGAAGTAGAAACTTGTGCGAGCTAAGGATTAACGAGGTCTTACCTTTTAACGTGTGATTCCTAACACGGGTTGGACGATACCAAGTGAAAATCGATCATTCAGACTAGGGCTTGAATCACCGACCAACACGACAGTCAATTCGAGTGAGTGAACAAAGCACCACGTCGAACCGTCTGGCTACCCACTTCAACTGAAGAAGCTACTGTGTAGCGAAACGCGTCTTTAGTAAAGTTATTAGTGTAAAAATTGTTTAATTATCATGGATGCTGTCTACTTCAACTATTTTTACCATAACCATAAAAGTGCATATCAACATATTTTAAGAATGTTATTCACATTTCTGGAAACTGTCGATCAACAACTTTTTTTTGTAAAAATTATGCCGTAATAGAAATTTGTTCAGAAAGGGACAGATTGGAATGTCTCATAAGTTTGCAAAATAAAAGCATAAGTACCTACGTACCCACTTACATCTCCAACTTTTTGTAAAATCTCAAATTCTAATCAATTTTATCTACATTTTCATTTGGGCCGTTTAATTTTCTGTCATTGAATTCCGAAGATGATATCTTTCAAAAAAGTTATATCACTTCTCCGGAAGTCTATGTTAGCTTGGTTAAATAGACTATAGATATCAGACAACTCCAACAAATCACATTAAAAAAAACAAATCAGGTGCTATTGCCAATCACCAATGCCACTACTGCCATTTCTGTTTCTGTACAACAGTGTATATAAGAACATCAGAGGTTTTATGAATGAAAAGTATGTTTTTAGAGATGATAATACATTTTTCGGAAATAGTTCTGGACTTTCTATTTCTTCAATGATGCTTTCCCTTAATGAAGAAGTAGGAAACCCAAAAGATTTGTTCCCATCGTCATTGTATACCATAACTGAAACAATAAACAAACTCGGCTATCCGTTTTACATGTTTAAAAAGATTAGTACCCCGTTATTACGGCCTGAGTACGGCCCAGATAACTAAATTTTCCTAATTCCCACGCCTGGGATAGGAATCTCTCGTCAAGAAGTCAAAATGGACAATTCTCTTTGGAAGATATCAGTAAGCCTACTCTCTAGTAGATGGCACATCTTCAACACAAGAAATTACTTTTTTTAAATCAGAATCACATATTTGACATTTGATGTTTGTTACGTCACATCTACAATATGGAGGACGTGTAATTTTTGTCGTTACCTCGATTTGCAACAATAGTGTCCAATAATCGTTTAACATGGGTGACAGTGCGAATACCAAAGCTAATTCCTCTCACAACGAGCCCGCTATGAAGGGATGGCTTTTCAAGTGGACTAATTATTTGAAAGGATACCAGAGGAGGTGGTTTGTTTTACAAAATGGTCATCTGTCCTATTACAGGTTTGTTTATTGAATAGCAAATTATCATCTTAGATTATTTAGTTCACAGCTTGCGTTCCTTCTAATTTTTTACTAGTGCACTTTTTCAGTTGACGACATGCAATTATTAAGTAGGGTAAAGTGAGGCATAAAATCTATAGAAATTCAAGTGGTATTTGAAACTACTGAAAATATATTCTTGAATTCTTCCATAGAATATACCTAGTTACTTGATTTTTTTTCCAGTTTCAAGTTAATGTTAACTAGGCCTATTGGCAATATTTTTTTGTAATTTGAAAGGTTTGCATTGTTTGTGTTCAGAGATACTGAATACTCCTTAATGTTTTATTTTGGGAGTATTGAAGAACATACATCTAGGCTCTAGGCTTATAAAGATAAGAAAGATATTTTTACAAAAACCCCCTATGAAAAAAAAAAGAAAAAACATTTCACTGTGATAGGGCTAGTATTCCAAAGGAAAGCTACACTTTTACCCAGACTTTTAGAAAAAAGTGGCCTTCTGTCACTTATGTTTATAGGTAGTTGTTAGCAATCCATCATCTTTATTAAGTTATATTGGAAAAATAAGAATGTAGTTTAAAACTATATTTGGTAGTTGAATTGGAAAATATTTGGTCAAACTTTGACATAATCAAAAAATTATGTACTTCTGATGCACTGTTTGGAACCTTCTGTGTAGTAATGAATATTACTGGAGTTTTTCCCAACACCAACCGTTATTTCAACACCCTGACACGTGTTTTGATCACCAAGTGATCATATAAAATAATCAATTATTTACTCATATTACTAAAAATAACACATTCTTCTTATTCAAATACTAGTAAAAGTAAAAATTTTTGGTGAACGTTTAACTATCATAGAAGACATAAATCATAATGCCAGAAATTGTGTTCCATTCAGGTGTATTACTTGAGATGGAGTACTCTTTTCAGGTTTTTTTAAAACTCATTGTCTTTTTTGATCCACTTTCCATCACAAGAAATCTTACAATTACACTGAAATAAGAAGTAAATAGATTCACCCCCTGGGAGCTAGCAGAACACCTGTGGTTTTAACATTTATTTCCAGGCCATAATTTCATTGTGATTTTAGGCTAATTTTATATTCTATTTTCGAATTTTTTGTTCTTAACCCAATCACGAAAATACCATTTCACCAATTAATACTACCCCATTATTTTAGGCTCACTTTAGACTTCTATTCCCTTCTATAGCAGTATATGTATTCATGCCTTGTTTTTTTTTCAAAACTCAGTGGGTTCGCTTCACCGTTATTTAGCAAAACTAAATTGAAATATTTCACTCTCTGCAAATTTCGGATTTTCATTGATTTTACACTCCTTTATTAATCAACCACCATAATGTTTTGCTCAATACTTCAGTTGAATATTTGGCTCATTACCTTAGGCACACATGGTAAAAATAAAATTTAATTTTATGTGAATATCAATTATGGGAGAAATCAAAAATATGAATTTTAGACTCATTTTAGGTTCCATTTAAGGCTTTTCTACTTGTTGTTTTTTAAATCATTTTTTCTGCTAGCTTTACTATTAAGCTTGAAAATAAATTCTGAATTTTCAATATTGAAAGTATAACACTTGCATAACTGGTTCTTAAATTCATAATGGATAGAAAATGAAAAGGACCACATGTGTCCTGTGCCTAAATTAATCACTCAAATTCTTTATTCAAACAAGGGGCGAAAATTTATTTCAGGAAAATGGAGCATCCAAAAATTTGTTTAAAATTATGGCCCAGTCAGATTGAGCAAAATATTTTTTTTGTTTGTGCTCAGGTTTTCGTGCTCAGGTGCCTTCAAAGTGCTCTAGTTACATTTTGATTATCAAATAACATTATTTGTTATCTAAATTCCTAAATTGCAAAATCGTAATATTGTGTTATCACTTTCATTCCTTTATTCCTAAGCTTTACTTATGACTATCTATGAATATGAACACTGTTGAAAATGATAACAATAACCATAACCATCATTTTTAATCGAACTGAAGCTAAAGGAGACTACTGCATTAATAATAATAATAATAGTAACTTTATATTGAGAAGTGAAACTGTCACCGTTGACATTGAAACTGTCATTTGTTGACATTTCATTAGTTTGGACTTCCATTGTCTAGTATTATACAAATTTATTTGAAATGCCTGAAATAATGAAATTAAAAGATTCCAAACCAATTTAATTCACGACGTTTCGATTGTTAGTATCCACATTCGTCTTCGGGTGATAACTGGACTTATTCGTGACAGTCATCTTGGTTTCGGATGGGTTAGACCCTGGCTCCCTTACCCTTTAGACTGATGTTTGTCAGAGGGACAAATGGGTCATAGCTGATGGAGGTGATGATGGGATGGCGGCATGAGTGTCCTCAGACATCAGTGCCGCAGTCCGCGGAGTACCTTTACCTGGCTGGGCTGGGATGGATGAAAAAATTGTCTTTTAATGGAGGACATAGAGGCCTCATTCGACAGAGTGTCGGGGCCTTCTATATTGGGAGGGGTCGTCTACAGTATAATCCGTAGCTTCCCTAACTAATGGGTTTTCATGAGTGTCTGTGCAATCTCGCTGATTTCTCGACTGAATGGACTGCCGAGTGGAAGGTAACTGCAAATCTGTGCGGATGGCTTCATTCCGCACGAACCAAGGAGCATTCACAATCATCCTTATTAACTTTTTGCAATCAGAGTGGAGATATTATATGTAGCCGCTTGTCCCCAGACGCCTGAAGCATACTTGATGACAGGCTTGAACATCGTATTGTAGATGGTAATTTTGTTTTTGAGGCTCATTTTGGATTTCCTGTTGATCAGAGGGTACAGACTACATATCCGACCCTCGATTTTTGTTTTAACGCACATGATGTGCGGGTTCCAAGTGAGCCTACGGTCTATTAGAAGACCGAGGTACTTTACCCGCTCTCTTCCAGAGATTCTCACTTTTCTGGCCGGAGAAGATTTTAATCTTCCCATGGTTATCGCCTGAGTCTTGTCCGGGTTCGCTCGGATCTTCCAATCGAGGTACCAGCGCTCGATGTCTTCCAATGCACGTTGCATGTAGATGACGCCGAGCTCTCGACCCATGGAAGATGAGAGGAGAGCCGTGTCATCTGCGTATAGGGATATCTTCACACGCTTAGGCCTCGGAAGGTCATTGGTGTCTGGACTTATACTTCAGAGACCTGACTATTTATAGGTCACTCGGGTGCATTCACCTATCCCCTCTTCCCTCTCACCGCTTCATTGGTATTTTGCGGGAGCTGACCGTTTGGCGGGAGTTGGTCGTGTTCCGTTTGATTAGAGGTTTCCATATGTTGCGTATCTCTACGCTAGTTTGGCTAAATGCGTTGGTGGACAACATACATGCGACTTTTTTGAATTTTCTCCTAAACCAGTGTTCCTCCTTGTGGATGATTTCAGCTTGAGCCCACTTCATGTTATGTTGATGAGTCCAAACATGCTCTGCTATTCCTGATTTGCAGGTTTCTCCTCGCTGTGTGTGTTTCTTGTGATAGGTGAAAGCACTCGAGTGACCTATAAATAGTCAGATCTCTGAGGAATAAGTCCATTAGTCGGGGAAGCTAGAGATTATGCTGTAGACGACCCCTCCCGATATAGAAGACCCCGACACTCTGTCGAATGAGGCCCTCATGTCCCCCATTAAAGGATGAACAGATCTTTCATCCATCCCACCCCAGCCAGGTAGGGGTACCCCGTAAAGGGCGGCACTGATGTCTGAGGACTTCATGCCGTCAACATCCCCTCAGTCACGAACCCATTTGTCCTTCATCGACAGAGATCAGCCAAACGGGTAAGGGAGCTGGTCTCCAACCTGAATGAACTACTCAAGACGACGTGCAGAATAAGTCCAGTTATCACTCGAAGACGATTGTGGATACTAACAATCGAAACGTCGTGAATTTTATTCTTTCAGGGATTTCAAATCAAATCATATTAGACCATGGAAGTCCGAACTAATGAAATGCACCATGAGGACACAAAGGGGCGATAACTAGGTTCGTAATTCAAACCTCAAATTCAAGAAACATTGATTATATTACCTGATTTTTACCATAAGGTCGTAAATATTTGTTGTTATATCACAATATTATTTTACATGGGTGCAAAAGTCAATTTGTCACCATAACTAATTAATCTAAAAGGTATTGTTTGTGCCGGTGTGATAATTATGTATCAGAACGTGTTCATATACAGCTTTGCCAGAAATCTGGAGCTAGCAAAGAAAGGGAAAATTATATTCGTAATCGGTAATCAATCATAAAATATGTTTGTAGTGAAAACGTTTCAACAGAGATGATTCAATCTAAGTTCCCAGCTAAATACATGAAATAATGTGTAGGTATATGAGCAATTATATTCTGAATACCGAGAGTTAGATGTTGAAAATACTGATAAAAAAAAAAATTTATCCGAATTTTTTCACATCACATGATTGAGTGTGAAAACTGTCTTGACTTCGACTATCGGTCTAGTATCATCTTCCAAAGATTTTTTTTACGATAATAAATGTAATATTTCATGAAAATTTCAGTACAAATTGACATTCTCTTTGTTTTCCTCGAGTTTTGTAGCGCCACTTTGCGGCAGTAATGATTTTCTCTGGCGATTATTTTGCATTCATGAGTTTGCCCAGGTAATTAACCAAATATTCATTTCAAACGAGCAGCAAAAAATGGTTTTCTAATATCTTGTGTTTCGATTTTTTTCTCGAAATAATTTTTAACTCCATATATTTTGTTAGATTTGAGTGACTTTTTTTCCTTCATCCCTTGTTATCAAAACAAAAACCACAATTTTAACAAAGTAACAGATATTTTTCCTATATATTTTTGAAGGATTTTCTTTCATCTGGTGTCGTAAACTCCTGATCTGTTCCGAAGAAGGAATATGTTAGGCTTATACGAGTGATATCGGGTTGAGGGTAGAATTACGAGTTATTATTCTCAAGCTCAAGGTACGTCT